CTGGCGATCCTGACGGCAGTGGTCGGCTGTTTCTCAAAGAGAGTCGGTATGGCAACAAATCTAGCGGTGCCGTCGGTTGGGGGAACTCAGGCTCTAGAACCCTAAACCCCTCCCACGCCTCACATTGCTCAGCTTTGGGACCTGCTACCCTCCGCCAGCAATCGCCATCTTCCCAGTCGATCGTGTCGCCGTCCGCGCTGAGGTAGCCGCGCACGTCCTCGTAGTCTGTGATGATGACACAGGTCCTTATAGGGGCTGAATAACCCAGTCCCAAAAAAGGGTTCACCTTTTATGTATATATATATATACATATATATCTATCTATCTATATATACATCCATATCTGTAAATACATACATATATATATATGTATATAGTAGGAGTCTATTAGAACCCAAAAGGTTCAAAAAGGCTTCCTACCCAGTCCCTAAGGGTCTCCGCATTCAGCACCTTGAGCTTCGAGTTGAAGCCGCCTTCGTGGAAGACGTTCCTTCCTGTCGTCAAAAGCGTGGGCTCTTGGGCCTTAGAATCCCCTAACCAACCCCTATGAAGGGCCTTTTTTAAGGGGTTCTAGGGTATAATAGCCCATGTAGGAGTGTGTGTGGTTATAATCCCCAACCCTATAAAGGGCCTTTTTAAGGGGGTTATAGGGTATAATAGCCCATGTAGGAGTGTGTGGAGCTGCAATGCTGGTATGCTTACAGCTCGAAGGAAGCCTGAAGATATGGGCAGTTCTCTACACTAGGGCCCTTTTTTGGGGGGTCCTGTATATACGACGGCACCCTTATAGTAAGGAATCAAAAAAGGGGACCTAATTTAGAGAACCTGGCCGTGTAGCCCTAAACCCTAAACCCTAAACCCTAAACCATAGAAACCCAAAACCCTAAACCCTAAACCCTAAACCATCCTGAAATGATGACCGTGGTGGAGCTGGTGCTGTTCTCTACCGCCATTGTAGCTTCCTAAGCTGCCGCCCGAGACAAGTGCGCGAAGACAGACACGCGGCTAAGCGGCTCAACAATACTCCATATATATATATATATATATATAATACTAATCACAATAATATTAATAATAAGAATTATTATTATTATGATTATTATTATGTATGTATATATACATAAATGTATATACATAGGTATATATGTATATATATATATATGCAGAAAAACCTAGCTGAATAAACAATTTGTATGTATAGATGTACAAGTTATATACTTTGTTCTTTTAATCAGTACGTGCTACCTCCTAGTTGGAGGAAAACAAGGGCACATGACGCGGCAAAAAGGGTCAGTGGTGTGGCGCACCAGGGTAGGTTGGTGGGATCGAGGCTTTCAGAGCTTGCCCTTGGCCTTCCAGGGCCTGCAATATCCCTAAACCCTAAGCCCTAAACCCGTGCAGCTGCGTGGCCCAGAATCCATCAAAGGATGCGGAGGAGGTGTGGTCCAGCTCCGAGGGGGCTGACTGCTCCACATCTTCCGGATTGGTGGCCTCATATGGGTGGCTGTCGAAATGATGATCCTTTTCGGGGGTACCCTAAAAATGTTCGGTCCCGTATTATAATAGGGATCCAAACAAGGACCATAACTTTGACAACCACCCAATATGGCGGCTTAAGATAATTGGGGTACCTTATTAGAGTCCTTTTGTAAGGGGACCCCTACACTTGGGGGGGTGAATGTAAGGGGTAGACCCCCAAAATGGTAGGATTCCCGAAGAACGCCAATAAGGTGCCCCTGTAGCTGGGCTCAGGCACATCTTTTTAGACTCACATGCCTGGAGAGCTTCAAGGGCTCTGCGATGTCTGGGCGTGTGCAGAGGCTCTTTTGCTGAGCATGGCTACTTTGAGAACCGCACAACACTATTCTGTGCGGGCTATATCTGCACGGCCCCATAAGGAATGATGTGCAAATCGCTGAACTACGCGTTTGGGTTCTTAAGGCAAGGTATTGCTGACTCTGTGACTCCAAGAGGCGTACGTCCACCTGCTGGGCATCGCCACATCCGGCAAATTCTCACCCTAAGCACATGAAAAACAGGCGTCAAACCGCCTTGGGACTGTAATTTGTGAATCTACTGTTGTGCACTTGCGCTCAAAGGCTGTAACGGCCACAGCTTCCTTCTCCTCCTCCTGCTACCCGACGCCGAGAATGTAAGAGCCCCAACCTCATGTGTGTGTTTGGGATTCTGCGCCATGTCTTCCTAGAGAGGACTCTCTCGCTTCGAGCGTTTGGGCATCCAGGATTTGGGGCAGGGCTAGGACACCAAACCCCTAACCTTAAAGAGGCTTTGGGGCATGTTGCGTGATCTTGGAGCTTTTGTTCTGCAATGCTTGAGCCAAAAGAGGAGGCGAGAGCCACGCCTCGGGTTTTCAGGATCGGAGGGCCTCGGGCGCTGAGGGCTGCTACGAGGGTTCCCCCGGACACAGAAGCCAGACATTGAGTTGGCCTTTGAATGCCACGTAGACGCAGGGTATGGTGTGTCCACCCTAAACCCTAAACCCTAAACCCTAAACCCTAAACCCTAAAACCCGAAGTTCTGGCAATTGTATATCCTGTCCTCTGATCTGACGCAATCCCTGCTGGACTCTGTGGCTGTAAGGGAACACCGTTGCTTGAAGGGAAGATCAAAAAAACCTGAGTTTGAAGCCCTGTCCAGGGGTCGAGGGCGTGGCAACGACGACCACTAATGTCGCAAGAGAAGCCGCACATTACTTTTTCCCTAAACCTCACCCCCTAATGTACTAATGAAGAAAGATCCCTAAACCATACAGGGTTTAGGGTTTAGGGCAAACCCTGAACCCTAAAACCCTGGGCTTCGGGTCGGGATTGAGGGGTTGCGTGGCACCCAGAGATCCCCAAACTAGCCCGGAATGACGGCTTACAGTGCGCGGTTTCGTGTTTAGGATCCAGTACTTCCAGGACGGGCTATTCCACCCTATAACCCCAAAAAAAAGCCGTTTATAGGGTTGATTATGGGGATTATAGGGCCTAATAGCCCATCCTGGATACAAGTGGCCTTATAAGGAACCCGTTCTAACCACAACTGCCACGAATTATATCCCTACTCAGAAGTGTCCATGGTCCTCCAAGTAGGCAAATGAATCACACAACTGGCTTGAGGTCGTAAAGCCAAAGCGTCTGGTCCTAGATTTCACGAGCTTTCTTCTGTACTTATAAGTGGGGTCTTAACCAGGTGATAAACGAACTACAACCACCCTACTCAGAACCCTACGTAAATGTACCTGTGAACCTCCAAGTAAACCTGGGAACTTCTTGACAGCAGCTCGTCTGTTCTACTTCGAGATGGCCTTCGGCCACTAAGCCTGTACAAACGCTGTCGCAAAAGCGCACCATGTCTGAGTTTAGGCTGCGACACTGTTCCTAAATATGACCCTCCTAAACCCAAGAAAGTAAAAGACATAATATATCCCAAGGGCCTCCTAAACCCCAGAAAGTAAAAGATATCATGTATCCCAAGGGCCTACCTAACCCAAGAAAGTAAAAGACACAATATATCCCAAGGGCCTACCTAAACCCAAGAAAGTAAAAGATATAATCCAAAGGGCCTACCTATAGACTATCTGGGCCCTTTCGGGTTGAAGAGCAAAGAGTAGATTGACGGTTCACCTAAGATGCATGCCAGGGCTCCCGAACGCTCAACCCCAGACCTGCAGAAAGCGCCCCCCCCCCCCCCCCCCCCCCCCCCCCCCCCCCCCCGCCAACAAAAAAAGAACACAAATAAACAAATAAATAAATAAATACATATATATATATATGTATTAATTAAAATAAAAATATTAATAATAATTATAATAATAACAATAATAATAAGAATAATAGTAGTAATAATAATAAAACATACAAACGTGCTCTGGCATGTTCTGGCCACGGCCATCCCCAGCACAGTAAAACCAATAAGGCAGAAACCGATGCCTGCGCAGCCAGCAACCCTCCTGGCGCATTAACTGAAGCCATGTGGATGATGCCCGTAGCCCGGACTTGCTCCTGACTGGGCTGCACTTAGGAGGGTAGCTATAAATCCAATTTTTAGCTGCCTTCTTAAGAAACCCAATGAACCCAAAAAGGCTAAGGATCTAAAGTCACAGTAAAGAACCACAAAGCTGAAAGATGAGCAAACACCCATTGGAGTCCCACACGTCTCAGGGAGTTGGGGGGGAGTCTGCTTCCTAAAGCAAGCTTTCTTCTGCGTCGAACCCAGGGGTCGGCGTTTATCTAGGGTTTAGTATGCTTCTTCTTGCAACGGATGCCCGCAATGGCCCTCTAAACCCTAAACCCTAAACCCCAAGTGCCCCCCGCCTCAGCTTGACCCCCGGTTCTTGACCCCTCCCAGCGGTGTCCTCCGCCCTAGCGGCAGAGAGCTCTCAACGGAAGGGCTTTGCCTGGGCAAACCCTAAGCGTAAACCATCCTAAACCCTAAACCCTAAACCTGAACCCTTCAGATCTTCGACTCTTCACGCTTCGGACATGCCATGCAAACCACACAGAATTTCAGCCTCCTGCTGAATTTTATAGGGTTCTTAATGGGGGTCGAGTTCAGCACAGTTTGCCAGGGCCAAGTACAATGCTTGCGGCTATAGGGACGAGTTCTAGGGGGCGTCCCAGGACCTTGACGCACGTAGGATCATCCTTGCACAAATGCTTTAGGCCCGCAACAGTATAGTTTGTGCGGCAATTGCTTCATTCATGCGAGGATGTCGCAGATCTGTGTACTACGGAAGAAGTTTCTGTAGGTCCTACTGTAGACTCACCCCGATAGGCCCGACACACCAACACGAACTCAAGCAAACACACCGACTGAGCGGCCCCTACAAATCTACACCCGACTTCAGTGTACAACATGTTCTGAAAGTGTCATGCTGGTGCATTTCTGGCAAGTAGAGTGCGCACACATGAGCTCACGACACAATGACTTATCCTCGTACCCGCGAACCCTAGGCCCGGACCCCAGTCCGTAGTTCAGGAGGCTGCGCTGGGAGGTCACTTCTCGCCTCGGCGCAGCTACAGAGAGAGAATGCTGCTTTGGGTGATGCTTCTGGGAAGCCAAAGGTCTCGGATCTTTGCTGCTGCGCAAGATATGTGGGCGGGGTAGGTCCTGATCCGATTCCGCCCACACCTTAAGCCTTAATCATTCGATGAGTCTGGGATGTCTCTTAAGGGCACCCATGCCCACACTGCCTGCAAGTTGAAGTTCGGGAGCCCCAAGAAAAGCCTGTAACCTCTGAAAGCTTTTTCTTTCCTAAAGCTCTTGAAACTCGCGCTGATGACTGAACGATCTAGGCGATAGAGCACCCCAATCTTCCACCCGTAAACCCTAAACGCTAAACCCTAAACCCTAAGCCCTTAACGCTGGCATGGTGCAGTCTCTGTGGGAGCCCAAAAATAAGGCCCGCATGGAGGCCGAAGTCGAGGAGGTTTACTCCACTTCCGCAAAAGATCTCCACCCCCTGCGTTCATGCCCTGAATCCTGTCCGCAAGAGACCCCTGACCCTCAAGGGTTTAGGATGTAGGAGGGTTTAGGGTTTAGGGTTTAGGGTTAGGGTTTAGGGTTTAGGGTCTATAGGGCCACAGAAGAAGAAGAAGAAAAAGAAGAGAAAAGAGCTCAGGCTGTGGACGCATCGCGCCGAGCATGGCCTTCGCAGGGGGCTCTTTGTGGCAAGTCCCACGCTGTGCTACTTGGAGGTTCAGGGTTCAGGGTTCAGGGTTCAGGGTTCAGGGTTCAGGGTTCAGGGTTTAGGGTTTAGGGTTTAGGGTTTAGGGTTTAGGGTTTAGGGTTGAAAAGTTTAGGGTTTAGGGCACTTAGTAACCCACTATCAGTACCCTAAAAGGGTTATGATTGGGTTGTACGTACAGTTATAGTTGGTTACTAAGTATCATGAACCTCTCCTAAACCCTAAACCCCAAACCCTAAACCCTTATGGCACGCCAAGAGCGCACCTCCAAAAGCCAAACATGAACAGAAGCCCCGACAGATGAAAAGAACTGCAGAAAACGCCACGAAGCCTCTGATCCTGATCTCAAGGAGTTTTTAGCTCCTTGTCTATGCTCCGCTTCCTAGGGCTTGTAGGGTTGAGGCCCCCATAAACCTCAAAGAGCGCGCCTCTTGCAAGACTGCTTTCGCTGCCGAGGTGGCGCCGCCTACCTCGGCCCCATTGGCGCCTGCAGAAATTTCAGGGTTCGGGGTTATAGGGTTTAGGGTTAGAGGGTTTAGAGTTAGAGGGTTTAGGGTTATAGGGTTTAGGGTTATAGGGTTTAGGGCTACAGGGTTTGGATGTTATCGGGTTGGGGAACTTGGGCGGGTTTATGGTGATGGGATATTCTGAGCGGCTTCGTCGGGAAATGCGTTGGGTTCTTTCGTTGAGTCGGAGCTCTCGCTTCGCGCTGGCTGGGGGGCAGGGGGAGGGTGCAGCTGTCCTTGTCGGCCATCCACCTCGAGACTGAAGAAACCACAGCCGTCCTAACTAATCCTCCAAAAGACCTATGCAGTCCCAAACAGGACCAAAAAAGATCACCTTTACCCTATAAGGGCCCAAAAAACCCATGATTTAAAGGCCGGTGGTTCCGTTTTGGGGCCCTTAAAAAAACATCTTTACCCCGAATGAAGGGATGAAGGAGTACTCGGAGAAAGCTGAGAACTCCCAAGCCTGGCTCGGGGGTGGCGGAGTTGGCGGCTTTCATGGCCGTCGCCCCTTCGGAGACGAACACTTGGCCTCAGGATCGTGCTGAGGCTCTTGTTGTTCTCTCCGGAATCGGGCAATGGTGGCTTAGATACTCAGCGCTTCCCAAAAAAACTGGGCGGCTCCGACCGCTCCAACGCTCGGAGCCAGAGACCCGAACATCAGGAGACTGTGAGTATTCTCCGAAACCCTAAACCCTAAACCCTAAACCCTAAACCCTAAACCCTAAACCCTAAACCCTAAACCCTAAACGATATGCAGGGGTGGTGAACCCACTCCAGAACCCAAGGCAGGGCATGATAGGGGGGAGGGGGGCTAAGCAAGCCCCCATGTATCGGCATCCAGAACGACCTCTCCATGAATCTATGGATCTCGGCCTGTCTCCCTCCCCCCTCTCCTCTTGCTATCTACGACCCCAGACCCACACATGGCCCCAGAACCCTTGGCTTTGCCACGGTTTGCATTTCTTCGGCCCCTTTTTCTGGTGTGGGGGGCGGGACTGGCTTCCATACTCCTTCTTGGAGCGGAACAGTAGCAAGGCCCTGGATACTTGGCTGCACTCAGAAGGGTAGCTAAAATTTAAAAGTTTAGCTGCCTTATTAAGAAACCCAATAAACCCAAAAAAGGTAAGGATCTAAAGTTACGGTAAAGTACCACAAAGGATATCTCAAACTTAACAGCGGTAGTACAGAGGAACCTTGGCGAAGTAGCAACCTCCAACTGCAGACCTCAAGGCGCCGGCCCGAACCTATTTCCCTATTCCTAGACCGTACCCTCCAGCACCTCAAGAACTGCTTGTGGGGTTTAGGGTTTAGGGTTTAGGGTTTAGGGTTTAGGGTTTAGGGTTTAGGGTCCACAACTCAGGGAGGAGCTAATTGTCCGAGCCCATGTTTCTAAGCCCTACAAACTCTCGACCAAACTAAGCCCAGCCAGACGCTGAGAGTTCGGCCCAGGAGTTGCAAGGCTTGAGCCCGTCGGATTCGAATCTGCCACGGCCTCGTTAGGGTTTAGGGTTTGGGGTTTGGGGTTTGGGGTTTAGGGTTTAGGGTTTAGGGTTTAGGGCTACGGAGACTTGTGTCTTGAAGAGTACCGGCAATGTGTTCCAGAGCCACTGATGCTGCGGAACGTCTGCAAACGTGTTTCCTGGAGCTACAAAGTTCTAGTATGGAGGTTCCACACTCATCCTGCAGCATAAAAGGCAACGCCTAAACCCCTGCAAATTTTATGGAAGCTACAATGTCGTTGAAAGTTCCTGCAACGTTCGAAAATTCCAGCAATCGAGCCCTGTGGTTTCCGAGGGCCGCACACGGATTTGTCCTGCAGGAACTTACGGCCCACTTCTCTGACCTCACAGCTGCAGGGGTCTCCGCTTCCCCCTGCAGCCTCTGCCAACCAAGTCCGAGAGCTTGCGAAAGGCAGGCAAACCCTCAACCACACATCTTTGACAACACCAAAAACCGTCACTGCACACCCCAAACTCCGGTTACATCCAGGCCTCTGAAGTCCTCAAACTCCTGGAGCTCCTAAACCCCTAGACCCTAAACTCCACCCCTAAACCCTAAAATAAACCCTAAACTCCACCCCTAAACCCTAAACCCTAAACTCTACCCCTAAACCCCAAACTCCTGATGCACAAGGGGGGGACCGTCTTGTCGATGTCGCGGACGACGTACGACCACGCAGCTTTCAGAAAGGTGGGCAGGGCATCCTCCATGGCAGCCTCAACCTGCAGGGTGCCGAAACCTTCCGGGTATAGGGTTTAGGGTTTAGGGTTTAGGCAACCCCGAGCCCCAAAAAGTTGCTCTTTTTTGCCACCGCTAGGGCCCCCAACAAACGGTCTATAGGGCCTGATTACAGTTTCAGGGCTTGCTTAGGATTTAGGTAACATCTCACCTCAGGCCTGTAAGAGGAGTCCGGCAACGAGAGGTTGCTCAAAGGACCATGGATCACGGCTGTCCAAATCGAGTGCTTTCGCTTAGGAGCACAGTGCATGGTTTGATGGTGTAGAAAGATCAGGACTTATACGCATATGTATCTAGGATAGAATATATGTACCTATATATATATATGTATATATATATATATATTATGTGTATATAGATATATTGATATCTATGTTTGTTTATACGTGAGTTCTCCTAAGCTTCAACCTCTCGAACCCGTGAGCCCCAGAATTATATATGTTGATGAGCTGAACTGAAGCTCAACCGAGCACCCAAAAGGGGCAAAAGGGATAGGCTTCTTACACTCCTTGTGAATCAGGAGCTGCCTGACTTTAAAAGCCTGAACTAGCAACAGGCTCTTCGCTCTGCCGGGTAGAGCAACCAAGTATACGCGTCGCCTCCTGCACTTGCTCCTCAGGAACGGCGGCATCGCCTTCAGCCAGGAATCGTGCGCAATGGCACAGCGTTTAGGGTTTAGGGTTTAGGCAGACTGGCTCGCGCCACCCACTAGGTCCAACAAGGCACACCAAACACACAGGCGGACCTCAGCCAAGCAGTCACAAACTACCTCTCAAAGGCTCATGATATTGCTTATGCTGGGTTTAGGGTTTTAGGGTTAACTCTGGCACTGGCAACCAACTGCTGGGGACGCTTCTGGTAGGAGTGCATGACTTGACGAACGCCGAACTGGACTAACCCTAAACCCTAAACCTTATAAACCCTAAACCCTAAACCCTAAACCCTTAGGGTTGGTTGCTCGGACTAGGATGGGCTTGGGGTGGGGAGGAGGCGCATTGGGAGGGGGGCAGGAGGCGCGAGCTACAGGGCACAGTGCAGTAGAGCACGGAATGTTCGCCTTGCAGCACTGACACCCGACTTAACCCAGAATTTAGGCAAGTCGGTGGATGGCACGCGCACGAGCGATTAGTCGAACCCTCCGCTGTAGATGCTTTGGCCGCTGATCGTGTACACCTATAACTCCTGATATGAAACATTGCATCTCACGATTCTTTCATCCTACGAAGAACACTTGTACTACTTCAATGCTAGTTTGGTACCCTAAAAAACCCTAAACCCGAAACCCTAAACCCTACACCCTAAACCCTAAAACCTTAAACCGTTTCAGATTTTTTTATTCATACGCACGCACAGGTATACCCGCCTGAGTCTGTTGCAGCTTCCCCTTCCTTCTGTTCCTTCGGCAGCTTCGTCGCAGCACTGTAGACCTCACAGACAAGAGAGAAGTCCAAACGTAGCAGCTCGCAGCCCCCAAAAACTGTTTTCAGCAAACTTAGGAAGAAATATGAGGGTTTACGAAAATAGGGGACCCTTAATATAGACCCTCAAATAGTAGCATCCCCTTACAAACAATATAAGCGCCCCAGTAAGAAACCACCGCAACTTCGGCAACCCCCACATCGAGTGTTCGGCACACTTTTTCCGCTCAAGGCTGCTGCGTGGCCCTACTTCTCCTTTCAGAAGCCTCAAAAGTTGTGGCAATGGACACGTTGCCGGATCCAGTGGAGAAGGCGTGGCTTATGTTTGCGGCTTCTGCCTCTGCGACCGCGGTGCTTGGAGCATTTCCCAATGCCCCTTCAACTTCTGCGGCATATCTTCCATCGGTACAGGTATGGATGCATTGCTGGATCCACCTGAGGAAGCATTCTCATTGCTTGACCCACCAACAGTCGCATTACTTGCGGATGTGCCTGCTGAGGGATCTCGCAGAGGTACGGGCGTGGATGCATTGCTGGATTCATTTGAGAAGGCGTTGCTTGTCCTTGTGGCTTCTGCCTCTGCGACCGTGGTGTTGGAGGCATTGCTTGCCTCACTAACCGACGCATTGCTGGTTGCGTTGCCCGACTCATGCGAAGTGCACATTGGCAGCTCGCACCAGGAGGCAGGTACCTTTACCAGGGGCCCGTCGTCCTCGTCATCCTCATCGTCCTCGTCGCCGTCCTCATCGCCGTCTGTGCTGTTGGAGCAGTCGCCGGCACAAAAGCAAGGACCCGAAAAGATGATGCGGCATCTGAACCTGCGGCGTGGGGGACCCGAAACTCTGTGCACCACGACCGAACCGGACATCGGACAGACGCAGAAGTTTGCGGAAGATGTTGCAACCAATCACGCAACATGCACGAAAGCTCTCTGTGCAGCAAGGACACGGATTCCCAACCAAAAGTAGATTGTCAAGGTCCGTATCTTCGAAAGATTCCTCGCGAAGTGCTCATGATTCTATGGTCGCACGGGCTTAGGACACATCGCTTCTTCGATCGTGCTTGCCAGGGGTGTTAGTTACTGGTTTGCGGTGTAGGGTTTAGGGTTTATAGGGTTTACTATGTAGGGTTTAGTCTAGGGTTTAGGGTTTAGGGCTGCTCGCGGCCGTTTCGCGACAAGGTTGCTGGTCCTGTGCAAGTCGAGACACAATGAGCCGTGCAACCTTTTGGCACCCTAAACCCCAAACTCTGAGTAAACCCTAAACCCTGAACCCTAAACCCGGCAAATGGGTCCGCATACTCACAGAAACATGTCGGATTGCCGTTAGCTTCCTTCTGCGGCTACCAGGCCGAATTCGTTTGCTTTGAGTTTTGTGTGTTCATGTGGGTTGGTTGCGGCAGTTCTGCAAACTTGGGCTGCAGCTCTGCAAGCTTGGGTTCGACACAGTGCTTCCTCGGGCAGTTGGTCGGTCGGGCGTTTCGGACGTCTCGCGGAGTTTCGGTGTAGGACTTCTTTTGCCTTCCGAACCTTTTTCAGGTTAAGCCATCTTTAATAAACAGCCATCTATGGGGCTTTACGAAAATACGGGACCCCCAAATAGTAGGATTCCTTGAAAACAAGGACCCTGCCACGTTGATGCTAAGCCAAAGTGACACTTGTGCTAACAGTCCTTAATACGGATTATCGTACCCCCTACTAGAATGCCTTTTAAGGAGCTGTTAGTATAAGGGGGAACCCCCCCAACCCCTAAACCCTAAACCCTAAACCCTAAACCCGTGCATGTCTGTCCAAATTGACGCCCAAGAGTCGGAGTCCAAAGCGCTCAAGCGGTTCCCGCTCAAGTCCAGGAAGTCGAGGTCTGGGAGGTGGCGGAAGAACCCCTTGCCAAGTGCACCTCAGGAAACCCTAAAACCCTAAACCCTGTAAACCCTAGCTGATCGCTCTCGACCACTCCGCAGGGTTTAGGGTTTAGGGTTTGGGGTTTAGGGTTTAGGGCCGGCCGAAGAGCTGATCTGGTTGTTGGCAACTGTCAGGTAGTCCAATGAGTTGGACTCAGGCAGCCAGACAACAGAGCTCGGCAGCTCAGTGAGTCTGTTCCGACGGAGGTCGACGACCACCACCTGGTCAAACCCTAAACCCTAAACCAAAACCCTAAAACCCTAAAACCCTAAAACCCTAAAACCCTAAAACCCTAAAACCCTAAACCCTAAACCCTAACCCGCATGCGTGAAGGCTTTTTGGAGGGGTCGGTGAACTCAAAGTTCTGAGGCTCGCGCCTCTGGATTCCCGAACAAAGCTCCCGCTGGCATTTCTGAGATGCTGTTCGAGCTCAGGTCCAGCTCCCACAAACCTGGCCTTGGGCTAAGCGTTCAGGGTTTAGGGTTTAGGGTTTAAGGTATTCGTTACTATAACCCTTCCAAAGGGCCCTTGTAGGGCTGTTTATGGGGGGGTTCTAGGCCCAACAGCCCATCCTGGTGGTTGCCCAGGAACTAAAATACTGGCATGCGTAGGTCCTTTCTTTACTCGCGTAATGGCATCAGGTTTAGGGTTTAGGGTTTAGGGTTTAGGGTTTAGGGAACCATCCCAGGGGCAGACTTGTCAAGTTCGGGAAAGCCGACAAGCCATTGCGGGCGAGGCGGAGGCTGCCCAGGTTGGGCATGCCAGAAAAGGCATCCATCGGCAGGTCCTTCCGAACGATTCTGCTCTCTCTCTCTCTCTCTCTTAGGGTTTAGGGTTTAGGGTTTAGGGTTTAGGTTTAGGGTTTAGGGTTTAGGGTTTAGGGTTTACAAGACCCCCACACGCGATTACCCCAAGGCTAAAGGCTCGAGGGCTCTCTTCACGAAGAGCAGCTGTTCCCTTCTTACCAAGAACGGAAAGATCGATTTCTCATCAAAGTGAATATAGCCTGTGAGATTTATAAAATTATAAAGCAATCCGGCACGTGCATCAAGGACGAGGGACGAACCTAAACCCTAAACCCTAAACCATCTACTCGTGCGGAACAGCTTCGGCCTCCTTCAAGTCGTGTCGCTGAAAATAACTGTTCAGTTATCGTGCACTGGTCGGCCGCAGCTTCAAGTTCACAACGTGTGCTGCACATCCAGGCTCCATGTGTGCTTGCGAAAGGGAACGGTGGCTATTCTCTACACACACACACACACACCCCACACACACACACACACACACACGAACACACACACAGACACAGACACAGACACAGACACAGACACAGACACAGACACAGACACGCACACGCACACACACACACACACAAGTTCTATTTTTCAAATATTTTCACCACATATGGCCGGCAGAAATCTCCGGATTCCGTTTTTTCTGCATCCAGGACTTCCCCGGGTTGAAGTTTATTTTAAATGGCCTGGTTAACGAATACAGCTTCAGAAAAGCAGTGGTCCGAATTCTGTTCATTCAATTGTTTGAATTGGTTAGCCTGCGTGTTGGGGCTTAACGTTCTAAAACAGAATGGAACTCAACACTTTCCTGTAAATGTTTGCTTTTTGTATGTTTTTTTTTGACCGGATGAAAGCTCTGGATCCGGGATTACACCATATTTTTTTAAAAAATAGTAAGTGGGATGAATTAGGGTGAAATCTCTTGATTCCGTTTACTCTGGATCCAGAATTTCACCGGTTTGAAATTCCATCGAGATAATGGCATGGTTTAACCAGAGGTTCAATTGCAGAATTGACCCCCGGTTCTATTTTGTCCTTGTTGAATTGCTTTTGTCGTTGTTGAATCTGCTTGGCCAATTCCAACAATGAACTGACTTTTGTAAGTTATCCGGCCTATTGAAATCATTTAACACCTCTTGAACAACACCATTGCCCGCTTCAAAGTACTTACATTGTGCAAAGTATGCACGTGTTGGAAGAAGCATGATATCTTGAATTATCCGAATAATAGAGTTGGGGCCAGCTATGTTTAGGGTGTAGGGTGCGAACGAAGAAAAGAAGAGAATCGTGCGGACAGGTGTACGCGTGAACTGTCTTCCATGTTGGAAACGCTATACCAATTATATCAACATGATCAATAAGTACGAAACCATGCTCCTTAGCCAAATCTTATACATAAATACGAAAAAAGAAAGAATATTAAACCCTGATGCGTAAACCCACGAACGACGCAGAAAAGATAAGTGCTACATTCAACATTGGAAACGTTAATGCCAAAGGCACATGATGAACATATGCTAAAAACTGATGGTTTAAGGCTAAACCTTGTATAAGTACAAAACAACCCAGCGGTTCACAAAGAACTAAGGTTTCCTGTCGAGCCGGAACCCAGTTAGGAACTCAAGCGAGCCTGAATCCGTTAAGGAACTTAAGCGAGCCGGAAGCACATGAGTAATATGAGTGGTATGCACACACCAAGTGCATAATGTGTATGAAAGTAGGAAAGCACACTGTAAATACCGATGGTTGGTAGCATTGAATTAAAGAAAGAACGAAGAAGCAACAGACAGAAGCATGTATTAAGGTAATATACATATATATATATATGTATACATACGTGAAGCGTGGTCTTGGGAGGGCTGACTCTCTCTCTCTCTCTCTAAATATACACAAACACACACGCAGACAGATATATATATATATATATATATACATCTATAGAAATATACAAAATCGCACCTCCAAGAAAGACCCCAAGTAGTAGGATTCCCTTATCATAAGGACCCCAACAGTACCTAATTTCGGAAATCCCCATATGTGTATTGCATACCTACATCCATGCGTACATAGTACAGCTTTGGACTGTCTCGGACTGTCCCTGCCAAGCACTGTTTGGGGCTTAAGGGCCGCTGGTGTCTCGAAACGCGGGCTCCGGAAAGAAATCAGCTCTAACTGGGCCCACACAAAAGACTCCCTGAGCACGGCCCGATTCACCCTAAACCCAAAACCCAAACCCTAAACCCTAAACCCTAAGCCCTGAACCCTGAACCCTGAACTAGAATGCACGTCCTGGAGGAGGTTGTCAGACAAGTCCAGCTGCTGCAGCAGTGGGCAGCTGGTTCCAGGACGGAAGGGCCAGGAAGTGATCCGGCTGCTCGCCCTTCGGCTTGACATTAGTACATTAGGGGTTTCCGGGCTTAGGAATTAGGGTTTTTTGCCATTTAGGGTTTAGGGGTACCCTTTTCGGGGGTCCCTTTAAGTGGATTCTTTCTCTTTTGGGGGGTACAAGGGGGTACCCCCTATTTTTGAGCAATGCCCACATGGAAAGCAGACTATCAACAACAACAAAAGTCAACTGTTGCCTAGCCTACATACACGTTTTAACCTTAGGGCTTCCTTCGGGACCTTTTGGGTCTCACTTATAGTGGCTTTCTCGTAGTGCAGGATGTGCATAGTCCAAGAAGCAGATCCAATCTCTCCACGTTGGAGCAATCAACCGCCCCCTCCACATCCATGGCAATGGCTCCACCCGTCCCCTCACCTGAGCTCGCATCCAAAGTGCTATGTCCAGAGAAGGGTTACGGATTTAGGGTTGAGATGTGTATATTATATGTATACACAGACGCAGGAGCGCGTGTAAAGCAGGGTTCTGTACTCTTTGGTTTAGGCTTTTCATGGCAAGCCGTCAAAGCACTACTGCAGGCAGCTGCTGTGACGGGCAGATCAGGGGTGGTCCCATGACCTGTGTTATAGAGTCTTACGAGAAGCATCGAAAATATCTGCCTCTGGGGTCCATGTTCAACCCCTGTAGACTCGCATGGACAGCACGGATTTGTGACAAAACCTACCCAAAGCTGCGCTTGCTCTTCGCCCCAAACTCCTAGGTTCAAATTGCTCTTCTCAACTTCAGAGCAAGGATACATGCTGCGCATTGCGCACACTGCATGGTCATATTGTGGGGGTATAGCTTTCTCACAGCTTAATATACCTCAAAATATATCTCTCTCTCCCTGCCCTAACTAAACCCAAAGCCTAAGCCCCAAACCCTAAATGCTCCGAAGCACTTCGCCGCTGCCGCCGCTGTAGGAGTCGCAGGGCCTCCGGGCAAACGCCCTCCTCCAGAAGTCGCATTGGGATTTGGGTGGTCGGATCCGCTGAGGGGCGAGCCGAGCACGGTCTTGGGCTTAGGGTTTAGGGTTTAGGGTAAGTTTTTGTCTATGCACCTCGTTCAGCCCGATTCCTATCTCGAACTTGACAGCGGCCGGTATACACACAAAAAGAGAGAGTATCGCCCCTTTCAGCAAAGACGCCCAAATCCTGATCACCCCCGAAGCCCCAACACCCTTACTGAGGTAGGTTTGAGGGCCCTATAATTATACAACTGTATGGCTTTATCAGCCTTTCGGGCTTGACTGCAACATGACTCTGGGGGGGGGGGGGGGGGGTAGGGTTTAGGGTGTGGGGTTTGGGGTTTGGGGACTCTTCTGAATCGTTGGGGGGGGGAGGGGGGGAACGGGGGGGCTTCTGATCAGTAAGTCCTCCCCTGCCCTCGCAAACAACTTTGGACTTTGGCATTGAGAGTTTGGGTCCTCGGCCTTGAGAGTTTGCGGCCTTGAAGTCGAAAGGCTTAATGCACAGACTCGGTTTTGGTAATCGGGCCTCCATCCACACCACGCCGCTTTTCAATGGATTTCGTGTGATAAAACTAAAAGGCTAGCATGGACTAAAACATTGAAAACTTGATGGCCTGGCTGATTTATACTGTGAAGACGACCCCGCTTGAGAAGTGGGGCCAAAGCATCGAACCTTTGTGACGTCTAAGCAGGGGTAGGTTCGAACACAGATTGTTAGTTTTTATAACCCCTAATCCCCCACATAATCCTTCATCATCTAGAGTATCTCCCCACAAACAGACGCCCACACACAAACCTGGAAAAGCCTCTGTGAGCTGCGAAGGCTGATATGCCCTGGGGTCTAGGCTGAAGGACGAAAGCGGAAGCGGAGAGGTGACAAGAATTCCTGCGCCGCAGCAGCGGATTCGCCGTTGGCTTCGGCGTTCAGCGCCTTCGCGACATCGTCCGCTCCGCCGAGGCACAGGACCTCACGCATTGCCCGTCGGGGTGCTTTGAAAGGGATGTTGGCAGCTTTCTACATGCACTCAATTCTAGCCAAAGGCTTTGAACGTTTGCTTCCCTTGAGGCCTGATTACAGGACCCCGTGTCAAGAACAACATCAGAAGAATCTTAAGACTCAAAAATGACCATCGCCGGCGGACATTCCGACAAGTTGCTCCGCTTTTGTTGTTTTGGGACCTCTCTGGAGCGACATTTGTTCAAGCTATCCAGGCTACTGACGAGCAACATTCTCGACCCTAAACCCCTAAACTCTAGGGAGTG